CTTTATAAGGAAAGGATGGGAAGTGGAAGTGGACTTTCCGGATGAGAGGATGCATGGAAAGGGAAGATATGTTCTTTCTGTGCATCCTCTCCTCCGTCGATTAAAGGTAGGCAACGCATATGCAATTGTGTATGTCTATGGGCAGCAGTCACTTCGCTATAACAGCGATTTCAGGTGAAAAAAAATGATGCTACTACCCGAAAATGTATATAATGCCTCTTTAATTCAAAGTGAACCTAGGCCTTGGCCTCTGACAATCCAACTTTCGAAGTCTGGCACCACCCCGACCTATTCAAAGACTCTCTAAACTTGGTCTGGAAGAAATATTTCCACAACGATCCCATTCGTTATATGTCCTGGAACACAGTCACGCTCTACAAGTAGCCAACGAAGCGTTTCCTAGGGAAACATGTCTATATCTACCTCTCAAATGAGGCCATCTACAGGATGACAAATGTAGATAGAATAATTCGTTGCTGCAGTTCGTTTTTTTGTCAATTTAAGAGATATTCTGGCATTTTAATTACTTTGTGTGTAGGCAAATACATAAACAAAATACTGCCAAATAATAAACGAAGTTATGCTTTATTCTTCTAGGCTTTGCTTCTCCTGATAGAACCCAATAATAACGTACCTAACGTTATTATTGGGTTCTATCTTTTTTTTACTTTTTAGCCCACAACAAATAGGAGGAGGTTATCAATATTTTTTTTTATGTTTGTAACTCCGCCCCTAGTACTCCGATTTTGTATTTTTTTTTTTGATCGAAAGGTGTTTTTACTAGATAAGAGACTATTATGTACACTGGCCACTTAATCTGATCTTAGCCCACGGAGTTTGTTATAAAAAAGTATCAATATTATTTAAATGAAATAGTTCGTATAACAATTGCAGTTATTTCAAAAAATAGGAAGAAAGGTAGATTACAAAACAAACAATAAATGTTATTGGTAATCTGTTTATATTATTGTTTTATTTTCATATTATTGTTATATTACTCAGTTACATGATAAATTGAACAATAAGAGGAAAAATGTTTTGTTTAAAAAAAAAATAAAAAAAAATCCTACCTGTTTTGGCAGTAAGTCCAACTGCACTATGCCAACCAAGAAAAAAGTAGTCCAATTAAGTTCCAATAAACTCGTAAAAACCAATAACGAACACTTTATGCACTTTACAATTTTCCCACTTGAATCCGAAGATTTGCGGCCATCAAACTTTTAGACGACAAAACTAATTTGCAAATAAACTTTTTTAACTATTCAATTAATTATTAATACAAAAAATAATATATATAACACAATATGTATTACTTAATCGCAATATAATTATTAAACTGGGCACATTAAATACACAATGTTTTATCAACGATCATTTTGGCGGCAACGGCCATATTGACACGTTCAACGCGCGACGCGAGTCTAACTGGACTGGAGCGAAAATGGCGTTGGTTGGCTCCGCCGGATAGCGAACGGCCCTCGTGAACCAAAGATCATGCGTGAGAACTCACAGGTAAGCGAAATGGTAAATCAAAATTTTCGGGTAACTTTTCTTTATCTGAATTTTTGTAATTACAATGAATAATGAAAATAAAAAGACTGTAACCAATATTTGTCAAGTGTACGTTCATTTTTTATTATTAACTATTAGTCCCCGTCAATTATTCGATTTTTTTTTCACCTTTTAAAACTTCCCTAGAGCTCTACGAACATTTCAAGACCAAGATAAGATAAATCCGTTCAACCGTTCTCGAGTCTTAGCGAGACTAACGAACAGCTATTGATTTTTATATATAAATAAATAGCTAGAAAAATTAACAAATTAATCATACTATATTCATAAAAAATATCACCTAGCGTACGACCTATGTGTCAAAGTTTGCAGTGCTACCGCTGCGAGAGAGAACCGGTTTGAAGCCGCGTATAGATCTAGCAATTTTGAAAAATCATTAAACCTACTAAATATTACAAGTTCCGAAGAGTAGAATAAATTAAAACTGTTTCTTTACAAAGTTACACAACTTATGAAAATGTATAGTATGTTATAACTATGTTAAGTGTAAATATATCACCACGAAATAGTTCCTAATAGTACTACAAAAATGTCATATTATGAAATCAAATGCACCATAGGTATCTAATTATTTTTCAGTAAGGAATCAAAAGATGTTTAATATGTAGTATAATATTTTTTATATCATGAGATGGCAAAGAAGCGAGCACAGAAATAGAATATTTCCACTTCCCATGTATCCTCTCCTCCGTAAAATCAAATTCCCCTTCCCAATCTTTTCTTACAAGTCCGTAAACGCCTCTGCGGTTCCTCTGGTATTGGAGATATCCATGGGCGTCCATGTACACCCCGGTTTCCCGCTGCTCGTTGGCCCATTCTCTTATAAAAAAAGGGAAAAAGGACTAAAATTAGGGCTTCACACTCATTAGACAAAACGTGGGATTGCTTCCACTAGACGCCTGCCTTTTGTGTGATCATGGTATTTCACCGGTCGAGCCGGCCTATTCGTACAAAAGATATTATTGCTAGCGTCTACCAATGTTAATGATAACTTCAACAATCGCTTAGTGTATGAATAAAGGCAAAAGGTATAATTAAACTTGTTACATTTGTGTGTCTATAATCTGTTTTATTTATTCAATATTTTCACAAAACTAACATACCATTATAACCGTGCAGATTGAAGAGTGAAAACTCCATAGTAATTACAACTCGGCATTCAAATTAACTTAACTATGTTATCCAATTATGATCGCTTACCGGTTAAACGGTTAGCAGAGATAGAAAGAGAGAGTTGCGTTATAACTATAATTAGTAATTTCTACAGCAACTATGCACGTTTAAAATACGGTTATTTATATTTATAATTCAAACGAACGTTGTAACCAGACGAAGGGAGACATGAACGATCAGCGCTTTTCCAGAATTACGCTGCGTTAGGGCGGGCCTAGTACGAATATTTGTGACAAGCCCCATCGTATCGTAACGACATTTGTATTAAAGGTTGTGCAGCGCCCTTTCCGGCCATAACGAACACTAAAAGTAGCAATGTTGCAACACCGCATGTCGTTTTTAGAGTTCTGTACCGCATAGGAAAAAAACGGAACGCTTATAGGATCACCGTTGTCCGTCCGTCTGTCTGTCAAGACCCTTTTTTATTTTTTTACTGTTGTTGGCTGCCACTTATTGCTAATTTAGTGAGTTAAATCTACACTGAGGGGCTGTTAAATAAAATTAGCAGTAATAAAAGAACCTTTATACATTAGATCTAAAAATAGTAACCATCCTCAAAACATTTCCTTCCTAGTATCTCCTACGATCTCTGTTTTACACGACACCTCTGGGAACATCTGAGTCAGCAACAAATCTCGTTAGAACATCATGCGTTACAAAGATATTTATTATTAACAACCTTTACCCACGCGTCGGTTTAAATGCGCGTATATCACAGAGCAAGGTACGACATTGTATAAAACAAAGGGTAAACAAGATAACTTTTACCTAAAATATTTTCTTTGTCACGGAATAATTCAACTGTTTGTAATCCACTTAAATGAAAGTAATTTTTGGCTTAATACAAGTTAACTGTATTAAATAAATTCATTTATGTTGTAATACATAGACAAAATCTCGACAGACAATAAATTCATATGGCCTTCACTAAGAGCCAATTCTGCGTTTATAAATCAGTAGGAACATATCATGAAAACATCCCTCAGAAGTCTAAGAGATTAAAGCACAAATAGATAAAGGTGGATACCCTGAGTGATAAAACATAATTTAATTTTGATAACAACACAAAAAGTTTTTTTTTTAAAACAAAATTCAATGTAAAAAAAAAACTTTTAAGATTTATGTATTGGTAACTAAAAATTTTATCGTTTTTTTTATAACAGAAGGGGGCAAACGTGCAGCGGGAACACCGAAGTGTTCAACGACGCCCATGGACATCAGCAATACCAGAGGAAGCGCAGATGCGTTGCCGGACATTGACATTTTTTGTTTTTTTATGTATTGTATTAAACATCCAAATATTTATGACTTGTCGTTAATTATAAAATATTTAATTATAAGAAACCGTGATCCCTGTCTATCACATGGAGTCATGGAGATATTTTTTTTTAATTAATAATATCAATTAAGGCCATGACCACTACGGCCAAGTGTTATGATTCGCCTTCAAATTAGTCAACAATAGAAAGATTGACATCGAGATAAAAGTATAAATTCAGCGCTGTCTTCAAAATATAGATTTTATTTATATAGCACGAATTTAAAGGTCTAGTAGGCCAATTTAAATAAAAAAATACAAGTTTGGTAAAGTTCTTTTAGAACCTAGAAAACAAATAATATTTTCAAATGTCTACACCACACCGGTCGATCTGTTTGCAGTTTCACAATGTAGATATGTCAAACTAAATCTGCACTTATGCGGCGTTTAGTGACCGTTAGATAATTAACTTTGATAGTAGGCATGTTGTTTGTCTTACCTGTTGTGCGTTTAATCAATGTGAATTTTTACGATATTCTTAACATTGAAATATATCGATGTATAAACAATCGGAACGAATAACATTCACTTTTATTATCCAAATGCATGTTGATAGAATATATGAACTTGACACATATTTTTTACTTGGTAAGAAAATTTATTTAACCTATAATAGTTATTCTTTTGTTTTTATCAGTGATGGGAATTAGCGGATTTCATTTTTACTTTAGACTTAAATTATTTCCACTAATCGACCTTGCGTTTGGGTGTAGCAGTCGCGGGAACCCTAGTGGAAATATAACAAGCGTCTTAATTCGAAAATCGAACGTACATCAGGTCGAAATTGGGTCTGAGATGCCAAATGTTGAATGTGGCCATTGATTCAGACAATGTTTACTGCTTGTGTTCATTTTAAGTAAAAAAAAAACAAATGTTACTGTCTTTTGATAATTGTTGTGCACTGTGATGAATATAAATAAATTTAAAACAATTTATAAAATACTATGATTTAATATTTTTTTAATTATAAGTTGAAAACGGCTTTATTAATATGCACTATTTTTTTACAATAAGTCTTCCATTGGTGATGTTTCAACTTCAATAATTTTGGGACTGTTCGGATCTAATGCGGGCACTTCATCTTTAACAAGTATTTGTGTTTGTTTTTTATTAAATATAATAAGATTTTTATGTTTCAAAGCAATATGTTTTCTGACTGACCGATCACTATGAAATGACCGATTGCAATACGGACAAAAATGTTTTTTCTCTTCATAATGTATTCTTTCGTGTAAAACAAGCTTTTGTTTTGTCAAGAAAAACATACCACATATAATGCACGGTAGGTTTACATCTGTGTGTCTATTTTTATGTCTCTTCATGGAATCAGATCTATTACACCTATATTCACATAAGTCACATTTAAGAGTTGGCTTATCTTTATTATGATTGCGTCTGTGGTTGTATAATTCCGCAGCGGTGTAGAACGCTAATGCACATACTTCGCAAGTAAAACTCTTTGAGCCGCTGTGACGTTGCATATGTTGTTTTTGACTTAACCTACTCATTGATTTTTCGCATATTGGACACTGTACTTTATCGTGACTTCTTATATGTCTGTAAACTTGAGATCTTCCTCTTACACTTTTCCCACAAATTTGACATGTGATTTCAACTTTATATTTTTTATGTACCATTTCTTTGTGATTCTGTACAGTACTAAGTTGTGTGAATGTTTTCAAGCAAATGTCACATTTATATGGTCTGTCTCCGTTGTGAATAACAATATGGTTCTGTATATCTTTAATTCTCTTGGTTTTGTAAGGACATTCTTTACAATAGAACAACCTAGCTTTACCTATACCGGTGATATCAATCATGTTGCTTTGTAAAGAAGTGCAACTTCGCTTCTTAGTGCTCATATGACTGTGGTACGCTTTATAAGATTTAAATGTTCTTTTGCATGCAGAGCATATCAAAGAATTTAGCAAATGAGTTCTCTTCCAGTGCACTCTCAATTTGCATTTACTTTTGAAGTAAGAGCCACAGTCATGGCACTGGACTGTAGTCTCTGTGGATGGTTTCTTTTTATCTGATCGGTCCAATGATTTACTTTTTAATGACTTGTCTTCTGGATACTCTATGGATATGTTGAACTCCGCGTCATCGGATTCTTCGGCGAATTCATCTGGTTCATTTTTAACTGTGATTTCTGAATACTTATCCTCACCCTTTAATATATTTTCTATATCTTTGTTTTTAAAAATACAATTCGCATTTTCACATTTTTCTTTGAACTTTACAGCCGTTTCTAATTCTTTGTAACATGTTGAACATATTGTATCTGGTAAACCGTCGTTCAGTTTTATTTCAATGTTTGTTAGGATGTTTATATGGTCGAAAAGAGGCAAGTTTTTAAATTTATCAAAAAGCGACTTAAACTTAGCTACACCCGACTTCCAACATATCCGACAAATCGAAGTATTTCCTTTTTTGTCATTTATCTCCGGCGTTACGTAAATTTCTATTTCCATTTTAACATAACAAAAGAATAAATAATATTATTATTTATGTTTACTTGTTGGACATTTTCTCCGATCGATTTTTGTCAAAATTGACATGACCACTCAATGTCAACTTGACACTTGACAGTTGAAAAACTTTTTTTAAACTAATAACTTACCCAATCTTTCTGCCACTCTAGGCCAGCAACTATTTTAATATTTATGTTTTGGAAAAAACGTTTTTATCATAGCATTCTGCTATATCAGATTCAAATTTCCTATTTTATAATAATTTATAGTAACCAAAAATTAAAAAGAAATTAAAGCGATAGTCACATCATATTTTGTTGTATTGGAAGATGTGTCTAACCTGAGTAATATGTTTGAAGTTATTTAAATTATCTATTTGAATATGCATCAGATTTAAAATTACAAACCACTGCGTCAATCACTTCTGCAACTCCTCTGTTCGGACAGTGATATCTATTCAGACATGTAGCGATGATCACGTCTCGTATCATAAAATTAGGGATGTAGTTAAGTGTCTTAACGAATTTGAGTGATACTAACTAATGAATTTCTTTGTAGATGATAGGGTAAAAGAGCTCAAAACATTGTTCTGGCTTTGAAGTAAAACACAAATTCTTTTAAATAAATAAATACTTTATATTCATGTTTTTTTATAATACATATATAATTTTTGACGTAAATTTTTATGGTTTTACTTGTCTTGCAGATGTATTCTTATCAATAACTTATGTTATAAACTTATATACTTAAGGAAAAACAATACCTAAAAATACAAAACATTAAGATTCTAAGAAGACTAGTAAAATCTTTAATAACAGGGTGTGATTTTAGTGTCGCTTTCAAATATTTAAAAAAAATTTAAAACAATAAGGAATCAATCATATGAATCAAAACGTCTAAAAACAAATGACTCTGAAATCACATCCTTTTATATTGAACAATGAATTTTTAGAGCCTGAGAAGCAATTTACTTAATATTAGTGATAAATCAGAAATGTTTAAACCATTTTTTTTTGTCACACAATCGCACATTTTTTTTAAGTTATCATGGAAAATGAAGATGAACTAAGCAAATAAGTTGAAACTAAATCTAATTGGGACCTTTATAGTAAGATCTTAGATACAAAATTAGATTCCTTTTACCTGCTTAATAGTTAAATATTTTGGATTTAAATATGACAACTCTTGAATATTTGATTCCACTCAAGTACTTTTTTCTTTTAAAAAAATTAAAAAAGACAATTTTAATTGTCCTAGAATTGAGGTCATTTAATTATAGTGTTTATGTTATTTCCAGTATTTTCCAATTTATTCAAAAGTTATCATTTGTGGTAACATTGGTATTTCCGGAAATTAATTTTATGTATTAAAAAAAGAAATTATAATAACCACTAACTACAATATAAACTAAGGCACAATTCTCAGACGTAAAGTAAAATTATCGTTCAATAACACCTTGGTCCCGGAAATATTCGATGAAATTATTTCTAGAGATTTTTTTTATCTGTTAACATTGTACTTATAATCTATGGCCCCGCACACGCACGTTGTGGTTAAAGTGAACCATTAAATACACTGACTCTATAAATGGATACGTTGCTTAGAAATGACAGCTTTTGTTCCGATTTAAATGCATCTGTTAACAGTTAATGACAGCTCCTGACAGTTAATTCTATGCATGTTATTAGTTCCAATCCTCACCGCAATCGCAACCGTCAGCGCCATATTGGAAAATGAAATCGGAACAAAATGACACAGTTTATAGCCTATCCATGTATAGTCAGTGATTAAATATTTGTTTGTTTTTCAAGTTATAACGCTTTGGCTTGCAGCTAATAATGGTTCACTTTTTGGGGATTTTACATAAATTCTTTACGACTAAGGGGCATTGAAATCTTGGCACTAGTATTAAACTACAAATCAGAGTATTCTAATGTAGGTTTTATTGTAGATTTAAATTTAAAGAAAGCTGATAACATTTTGCTCACAATGACGAATAAAACCTATAGATATATAAATGGTAAGATTTTACACGGAGAAATTATTAAAAACGAGCGAGCGGCCACCTGAAATCGCTGAAATAGCGAAGTGACCGTTGTCCATAAACATACGCAACTGCATATGCGTTGCCTACCTTTAATGGACAGAGGAGAGGATGCCCAGAAAGAAAATATATTCCCTTTCCATGCATTCTCTTATCCGGAAAGTCCACTTCCACTTCCCATCCTTTCCTTATAAGAAAAACGGTGGGAAGGGAAAAAGGACTAAATTAGGGCTCCGGGACGCACACTCATCAGACTGCTCGCGGAATAGCTTCAACTTGACGCCTGTCTTCTGTGTGGTTAAAGCTTTAGTTTCTTTATGTTAATTTTCTGTAGTCATCATATTTAGTATATAAAATGAATATCTAAATATTTCTTTCGTATCTTTATCTGTTTTGTCACAGTCACTGTCAAAATAGCAAAATGACAGAACATCCTGTATAGTCTTTACAAGTGTCACATTGTAAAACCGTTTTATCAAAATACATGTATTTTGTAGGGATTTCATTTATGTATAAAACTAATTTGTCATTTGTATGTTTCGATAATATTTTCTTCTTGAATTTAACTAATATCTAATTAGTTTTTTTCCATGTTATTAGTAGTCGGAGTAGTCTGTGAGTACTCTTGAGTAGTCTATGAGTAGTCGGAGTAGTCATGTCATGTAATTTACACTTCTCTGTGTAGAAATATATTACTTATTTAGTTTGTAATTTTTTTTAATTGTTGTTACGAAAAATAGTATCTGAAACGATAACGGAAAATAATTTAATTTAAGTCAGTCATTATGATAGAGCGTGTGTCAATAAATCTTAGAGATTTGATTACTGAAAATTTGTATGATATGTTTGTATGTACGTCTGTGTGTATTTCTATATGATTGACGGATTCTTGATGAATACTGAAGAATATTTTTATACGTAATTGTCAATATATATAATTCTGGTTATAACCTGTTTTGTAACAAAGAAATGAAACGTCTGATCTCTTATACATGGTGTTTCTTATTTCCGAAATAGAATCTCGTGAGTGCCACAACGTGCGATATTAGATAATAGCTAACTATAAATATGAGTGTATGTATGAGTTCAATCAGGGGGTTCCTGGTGGGAGCAGTGCGGGACCGGCGTGGGGGAGGACTTGAAGGCACGCGGGAAGAGGGAGGAGTAGGAGGGGGGCGGCTCGTACTCGGGGGGTGTGGGGGGTGCCGCGGGGGGCGCCTGCGACAGGAACAGCTGCTGCGAGGATGACGTCACAGTCACAGTCGGCGGCATGTCGATGCATGACGGTGGAATGTTGATCGGTGTGTCTGACGGCTTGGAGCGTTTGCAGCAGCACTCTGTAACAATTAAAAAATTATTATTTTCAATAGAAATATACTTGGATGGACTTAAATATTAAATCACTGGCAGAAGACATCTTGGATAGACGCTACAGGTACAAAACATTAGGGAGCAACAGTGTTGCCAACGTGACAAGGAAACATCACAACTTTTCAGTTTATATATAGAGAAAAGGAAAGAGAAAAAAAGGTTTTAAATTAAAATAAAAGAAGTTAAGATTTATATATCTTCTGTTATCATTCCAAGAAACAGTAAACAACTCACCCCAGGCGAGGCAGAACATGAGTATGGTGGCGCAGATGAGCATACCAACGACCAGGTAGCTCCAAGGTCCATACGGTTTCAGCGCCGCTGCGAACTCCAGGAACGCGTTGCTCTTCTGCTCGCTCTCACCAATCTTCACTGCAAGTTTTATATCGCCTGCTTTCGATTATACTGATCTTTGTCTTAACTTTAAAACCAGTGGAATTATACCAAGAACTTTATGAAGACACTTTATAGCTAGTGAATAGGTTCATCCAAATCTTGTAGAATTGATTCTTTTGAGCAAAAAAAGTATCTTATACCGATAATTCAACCAAATATTGCATTTCATCATCATCAGCTCACAATACGTCGCCACTGAGGGGCTCTGAGCCTACCCTAAGTTGGGGGTGACTATAGTGCATTTAAATAATCGAAATCAAAACTCACTTATAACTGAAGGTTTAGTCATCCCATCAGGCTGATCCAGGCCCAATAATTCCTGATTCCTTGCCGCAAATCTCCGTAGCAACTCTAAGAAGGGTGGGTCTCGTCTGTGAGCGCAGGCGGAGCTGTCCTCGTCCTCTCCGCCCGGACAGTGCCGCACACCGTCGCACACCAGGTAAGATGAAATGCAGAGACTGGTACTACCGCACACGAACTGGGACTCATCGTTGCATATTGCTCCTGGAATGTTATAAAACATCATTAATACGTAAAGTTTTAATATATTTTTTTTAATTTAAATGAAATAGACAAAAAATATGTTAATAATTTGTAAAATTTTCTTAATTAATGAACATTTTGACTCTTAATCAATCATCAATAACATTTACAAACACGCCATAAAAACTTACTTATAAATCTTTACATCGCGGTAGAGGTCTAAATTAATAAAGGAATTTTCTTCATATTTTTCGTTAAAACCTAATTAGGAGTAGGTTGAATTTAGCATTGAAATAAACACTATTTTTTCATAGATTAATTTTGCTCTTTTATTATCCATAGGCGGAATTTTCGGACACCCTGTATCAATGTTACACATACCACTGTTAACAGCGGTGACGACAAGACGCAACTTCTCGGTGTGCTGGTAGGGCGTTGTGGGGGGATTCCACACGATCTTTATCTTGGGCGGCAGCAGCTTTGTGCCCGCCTTGGCTGCCACTTGCGCCGCGTTCCCGCCGCACAGTGACAGACGCCATATTGGATTCTTAGCGTCCACGATGTACTACGGAAAGTTATTACTGAATGTAATACATACAAATTATTATTAGTTGATATTTTGGGATAATAACTAATGCTTTAGAATTAAATATTTCATGATTCAGAAATCTATAAAATAATCTTTTTCTCTATTTGTTAAGACTTTCGAATTTAAAACAACCGTACAAATCATGTTTCATCTCTAGAGGACCATTTAAAGTTCATAGTAAATTATGTTCACAATTAATACTCTGATGCGTATCATCTAAATGGGTCTTAATTCTTTTCTTAAAAAATGATAATATTATTTTGTACTGGTATTTCAATGGAAACCTATACTTAGAGGAAAATTATAATTGGCGCCATAAGTTTAGAATTAAATATAATTTTTGCAAGAACATCCCGTCGGGACTTACACCATTTAACTTCAATTAACCCTTGCTCTCATAAAACTCAATTAGCCGACGCTATACTGGTCGTACAGAAGTGGCTATCGTCTTACAATAAAAAGAAAAAATAAATTCTTTACACTACTACTTACTTCTTTACTAATAAAATATCTAAAGAGTATTATTCAATTTGGAACCATTGGAATTGACTGTGGTTTCGTTTCGCATAGCAACATTAGTGATTAAATACTTCCTTCTACTAATTAAATGACTTTGGAATTACCCGAACAGTTTGGTTTAATTTAATATATGTGGTTTTCCAACATCGAAAATACAAATAGCATAAAGGAATTTACACGTAGTTAAAAGATATGTAACTTGTAATAAAAATATTAAGAAATACTTACAATGAGCATCTTGCAGGCGTCAGTATTGTTGTTATGCGCGAGCGGCGCCGCGCCATCGGTGGCTGTGTCCTGCGCGTGCGCAGGGCTGCGCGCGCTCCATTTGCGCGCCGGTGCCGCGCCTTCGCGCAAATCCGTCAGACCGCGCTCCCACTCAACTAGCGATTCCTGGAAAACAAAAAAATGCAAATTTAGTAAATCAGTTATAAAATGTATGGGCAACTTATTATATCAGATTATGCAATCTGTGTTCAATACTTTGGCTATTTGACAGTAATAAGTAAAAAAATAAGCATTTCAGCCAACATAATTTCTATGATATATGTATACTCAATATAGACATACTGATCGTGGGTTTCTGAGATTCCCGTTTAAAACATATTGTTATATCAGTTTTGTCAAAGATGTTGACAGGGATGACGATATGTGTTATACAGAGGTTTCTGTCTCAGAAACCCTTAGTGTAGATTTAGTGCGAGAAATATACACCGTAGGACTTGTTATGTTATCTTTTTGGGTAAACTATCCTAAAATACTTGTATCAATCTGTTTTTTTAAAATAAAAGATGCAACAAAACATTCCCTACGTAATGACGTCAAAAGGAAGGAATACCAATGTATGTTTGCAATTGTATGGTTGTTAAATGTATGAGCAGCTGAATAATCAGTTGTCAGTGAACATGAGTCAACCTCAAATGTCTTAATTTGAGTATTGTTATGGTAATATTAAAATCAATGGAAGTCAACATAAAGACAAACCAACACAAATTGAACATACTTTAAAATAATAGATTTCAAAGAAAACATTATCTTTGTTATAAACTTGACATATTAAACAATAAGATTGTAATTATATTTTATTTTAAACATGTTTTTGGATACTTTAGTTTTGAATTATTGACGATTTACGTGAGAAACCAATTGTTAAATTGCGTGTTTCTTATTTTGTTGACGTTTTTATAACGAATATAACGCATTCCTACACGTATTATTTTGTAAATGTATTTATTCTATAATACATTCGCAGATATTTGTATACGTCACCGATAGTTTGTTAAATTTGTCAATTTACTATCAGTCTAGACATATTAAGTAATATCTTACTAATATAAATGAGAATGTTTAGATGGATGTTTGTTGGATCTTAATTATATTTGGCATACATATAGAACATAGTCTGCAAGAACATGTAGGCTACTAATTATGGTTTTTTAATTCCGCGCGGTCAGAGTCGCGGGCGTTCGTTAGTTTACAATGAGTATTGGTTAAATAGTATTTATATTATTATTCTTTTGATAATCTGCAAAGGAAACGTCGCCAGTTTTTATGTAGCTACGTGTTACATATAAATATTCAAGATTCGCCTTATTTGTTACCCCGTTGTCGTATTGTTCGAAGCTCTTCCAGTTTGTAACCTCAATGGTTACATTGTAAATTGATATCAAATTAAAAAACACACACACAATGCTCCTTGTATCTATCGCAAGCAAGCTATGTCTTACTAATATTATAAAGTTTAGATGGATAGATTGGTCGATGTATGTTTATAAGAAGGTATCTTTAGAACCGCTGAACAGATCTCGATGAAATTTGTCATATATTTAGAACATAGCCTGGAAGAACACAAAGGCAACACATTTTGTTTTTAAGTTTTTTTCAATTCTGCGCGAACGTAGTCACGGACAACAACTAGTCTGTTGCAAAGTTTATTGGTTATTCAAACTGAATATTGCTCATTACAATGTCTTTTTAATCGGATTCGACTGTAAGTTTATTTGTAAAAGACAATAAAGGAATTTTTTTACTTAGCTTTTGAAGCAGTATTGATTTGATTCTATAACTACGATGTCTTCGGTTTATCTTTACAAATCAAAATGTTAAAATAAGCAACTGATACTGTGATTTTTATTATTCAGATTCTTTATGTAAGGTAACAAAAGATTATTGAATACAAAGCAGATAAATCTTATTACGGAAGGCGACACGCGTTGAATAATTTTGTTTTGGTATGCCGCACGCAAACGATGCTCAAAATACTCCGATAGTTTGCAATTTTATTGTTGTTTAAATATAAAAATTGCGTGAACAGTTACAAAGGATTATTAAAGACACACTGATAGTGGGTTTCTGAGAGATTCCCGTTAAAAACATATTGTTATATCAGTTTTGTCAAAGATGTTGACAGGGATGACGATATGTTTTATACACAGGTTTCTGAGACAAAAATATAGTAAGTTAATACATTTTTTTCGTTTAGAAAAACATCACTTCAAATAAATAAGAAAAATGCAAATCTATTTTTGTTGATGAAATCTTTTTAATTCGATTACTACGTGTATGTATGGGTAGATGTAAGAATGTCGAAGCATGAGAGGTGTGGCAGGACCGTGATGTATGTTGGTCTGTGGTCTCTGCCTACCCTTCTGGTTTACGGGCGTGAGTTATGTTGTTGTTAGATTACAAGAATTCTGTAAGCTAGCAACATTTCAATGTAACAATGCGATATTGTTTAATTGCGAAGTTTAGACGAAACAAAGAACGATTGCGTTTGGTAGTTGCGTCAAGCGATGTGCGAACTGCAAATGTAGTATTGCACCGTATTGTTTTGTATTGCTTTATATTGTGTGCAATAACTGTTCTCCGCGATGCATGCGATAAGGCAAGGAATAAGAATTAACTCAAAAGTTACGATGACTCAGTTTATTTAGAAGATGAATCTTAATAATATAAATGCGTTTGGATGCATAGATGGATGTTTGTTAGAAGAAACGGCGCAATGGATCTAGTTAAAATTTAGCACAGATGTAGAATGTATTCCGGGAAAACACATAAACAATTTTTTAAATTATGCGCGGACGTAATCGCAGGCGACAGCTAGTTTGGAAATTAAAATTGTTTTTTTTTTCTCTACGTTCAACAAAATCAAATACGTATTACTAGGAAGTATCAGTCTATCTAAAGAAAGGTACGTAAAATAAAAGAAACAGAGCAAAAATCTACTTGCGATCAGACAAAGAGCAAAAATAATCAATGCATACGCAGACGATGAGTCGTTGACTACTTGTAATTAATTTCAAAGTTAACAGAGTGATAAAAGTGGTAGAAGTTTAACAGTTGTAGAGCCCGCTTTAACATCTTTGCACGAATTGGCCCGGCTCGCCCGTTGAAATACCACGACCACACAGAAGACAGGCGGTAGTGGAAGCAATTCCGCGTTTCATCTGATGAGTGTGCGTCCCGGAGGCCTAATTTAGTCCTCTTTCCCTTCCCACCTTTTTTCTTATAAGGAAAGGATGGGAAGTGGAAGTGGACTTTCCGGATGAGAGGATGCATGGAAAGGGAATATATTTTCTTTATGTGCATCCTCTCCTCCGTCGATTAAAGGTAGGCAACGCATATGCAATTGCGTATGTCTATGGGCAACGGTCACTTCGCTATATCAGCGATTTCAGGTGGCCGCTCGCTCGTTTGCCACCTTATGATATTAAAAAAAAGTAAAAGCTAAAAAAATGTAACGAGACAATGCTTCTCATAAGACAGCTGAAAGTCGTTCCAACTTCCTAAGGGGATTTCCTTATGAACAGACTGATAGCTAGCATTGTCTTGTCACGCGGTTCCGCTCGACCTTGTTTACGTTCATTCGTTCTGCACGTTTCATAGATCATTGAATAAAGCTAAATTATCTACAGCTGGCTATCACAGCTATGATATGATTTATGACAGGCGTTAATTATTATCAAGGTGCCTTAGTACTAAGAAATCCAATTTAATCTAGCCGACAGTAGTGTAATATTTTCTGAAGGAATATTTTATTTGTTGGACTGATGTGTAAGCGTGAAGTGTCCTTTTTAGATTCCGTTTCCATGCCAGGGTGTCTAAAGGATGCAGAGTATTAATTTATAATTTTTTTTTATAACAGAAGGGGGCAAACGAGCAGCGGGAACACCGAGGTGTTCAACGACGCCCATGGACATCAGCAATACCAGAGGAACCGCAGATGCGTTGCTTGACTAATCTTCATTATACCTTTCCTTAGATCTTCAATACCGAATTAAATAAACGATATCAAAAAAAATTATGTCAGTGTTAAAATCAGAGAATTTGTACGAAAAATTCGGCTGCAGAAAGGTGTGGATCGAAATAAACTTTTCCTCTCTCTCAGTTTAACTTTATAAATATCACTATTGCTACATTGACTAGATGTCCAATTTGACGATAATCAGTCCCTTATGCGAAAGGTACATATCTAGGCTATGGATCAGGTGTCCAAGGCGAGTTACCAAGGTTTCTCATAATCTGAACGTACAATATACGACCTTGCGCAATTCAATACAAAACCACCTCGTTACAATTGAATTTTAAAATACCTACTATAATATAAGGTACATTATTTACTATTGCGTTAATGCGTGGAAAATTATTTTCTCAATGGATAACCGTTTAACATACTAGAGGGACCAAGTTCGAGAAAAATTTAGGACATTTTGTTAAAAATTGTTAAACAAATACGAGGCTTTTGTCTAATTACTTAATAAAGGGTTATTTTTATTAAGTAACTTTTAGTTTAAGGTTTTTGATTTGAATGGAAATGCCACTTGAACAGATTATTCATTTGTTCATTTCATGAAAAATAATTGTGTTATATAATTATTTAGGATAGTTGGACTAAGGGTTCAATACTACATAAATTAAATAATTATATTTTAAAGGAACATAGATGGTTGTTTTATTCATACTAGACTGAGTTTATAATGAATTTTGGTGTTCGTAAATTTCTGAAAATCAGTTGTTCAAATAGTCAGTCTTAATTCTTTGTTACTTACTCAAAAATTACTTTTTAACTCTTATTAAAAAACATACCAAACAGAAATCCTTAAAAAATACAAAATTTGGTTACACTAATATCACAGTTCGACCTAAATGCAACAACTATAGTGTGATACGTCACAATGTCTGCATGTTTGTCGTCTTTTGTCATCTTGTATGCTTTTCGTATTTACCTTATAAAATATTAGCTATTTACAGCAAGTCTTGCTCAAGCAATTGTTAATTTAAAATTTATTTTAATTGAATTTTCTGACGCTACTATAATGTTTTTTTTATATTACACACATTTTTACTTACGTTTTTATGATTTAAACTATTATTTATCTTCAATTTAAATCGAC